TGGGAAGCTCTGTGTGCTGACTGGAACCAGAGCCATTGGTGCGGTGGGGTGGGGTGGGGTGGGTGTGGGCAGGAGTGTGGCACAGGCTATCCCGGGCAGGAGTGGGTGGGGCTCCATCCCATGCAGTACACTCCATGGGCAGCCGCAGGCTGCATATGATCAAGTGGTGGGCCAAATCCGGCCAGCAGGCTGTATTTTGCCGACTCCTGGCTTAGGTCCACCACCTCTGTATAACATACAGACCTGGCCCCTAGCCCCTACGAACAACCAGCAAACACCCTGAAGTGTGGGACTGCCAAGTACCTCCTGTACAGAAGGAAGCTACGTCTCAGCTCCAACAAGACTGCAAATACCCAACTCCCCATTTCATCTTTGTTGATTACTGACCCCAGAACAGCTCTGTCCAGCCATACTATCCCTTCCTTCCATGAACTTCTTAAATTCCATCTAGAAGCAATTCAGGTTCTTTGCCCATGATACTTTACTCAAATCATTCCAAAACTTTACTCCTTTGCTAGTTAGAAACTTTCTAATCTCCAATCTGACTTTGTTGATAACCAGTTTGTATCCATTTGGGAAGCAGCAGGTGGTTTCCTTGAAGAGCCTAGCCTATTTCAGGTACCTAGCCAGAACGATGCAGAGCCAGGAAACAGTGACACTGTCAGGGTTGGGGCCCTCCATCCTCTTGCAAGCCCCAACTGCATTATTTATTTTGGATCTCCAGACACAAACAGCTATCCTCACTGGGGCTGCCCACTCACCTTAGTGCCCTCATGAGCCATCCAGGGAATGCCCACTGCTCTGGGACCCTCTGCTCATGCTGGGACCATCCTACCCTGTCTCCCGTAGGCCCCTGAAATACAGAACTGCCTCATCTTGTATACACTGCCTGGTGCTCAGTGCTGGTGGGAAAGGGCTGGGGAGCAAGCTCTGCTACAGACCCTGCTTCACCCACCTGAACTAAGCCCCTCTGTCTTCTACGCAGCCTGACTCATGGGCTCCTCCCCTTCAACTGTTGCTACTCATGGGGTTCCAGCAGCACTCACAGCAGGGCAAGCAGTCTCAGCCCCACAGATGCTAAATAACTCATCCTGGCAGAGTGGGATTCCTGGCAATGACTGGCCATGCTTACCTCCCTGCTTCTGAACGGGGGCTACATAGTCTGCTCACAGGGCCTAGGCAGCACACGGTGGGTCCTAGAATAAAATACCTCCCCCAGCCATGCTGCGCTCCCTGGTCAGCCAAAAACACCCTGCCCTCTGCATAGGCTCCTGACACCTTGCTGCTCTAGCCCCGTTGCCCACACAGCTGGCAGGCCCACAGCTCAGTCCATGGGCCCCTACCCTTTGGTGACCCCCAGAGTCCTTACCTGGCAGGGCTGTTGCTGCTCCTCCACTCTACAGGCCAGTCTTGTGCCCCCCTACCAGCTGCTCTCTCCTGCTGGTCAGAGCCAGACAGGCAGAGCTCCCCAGTGCAGTTAGCTTTGTGATGGCCATGCTAAGAACTTAATGAAAGCTGACAAGATGAGCCTGTGCCTCAGCAAGGCCACAAGCACCAGATGATCTCATTAGTACAGGAGTTACTGACCCCCCACCCCCTCCACACACACACACACACACACACACACACACATGTAATGTATGGCTGGGGAAGAAGAGCTGCCATGACTGGGCTGCCCTAGTCTCAAAGATTTTTTCTAACCGGGGGGATCAAAAATCAGGGAAAGTCAGTGCAGACCCAGGCTGGCCAAACCACTGGTGCACAGTCTAGGGCAGCATTTGCCAGGCTGACCATAGCAACACAGGCCAGGAGTTCCTGTGTTTTCTGAGTGCTGCCCCAGAGTCCTCGACATGCTGGGAGCAGGCAGAGAATCAGGGATGTGGGCTTAGCAGGGGATCCTCCTTCCGAAGGCCTGTCATGTAACCTGATGACAGACTGGGCTGCCAGGTCCAGCTCTCAAGGCTCTTGTTCTTCTCAGTGCCAGGAGCAGATCTGATGCAGGTGGGGTGTTTTCACCCCTGAGGGAAGGGAGATGCAGCAAAATCCTATGCCAAGGGGTTGCTGTAGGAGCATGTACCAGGCCCAGTGCTGAGCCCCTAATAACACAACAGTCTGGCCCTGCTTCCTTTGTTCTTACCAAATACAGCAACATGCCTGAGTGCTCTCTATTCCCTTACATGGCCAGGAACACCAAGCACCAATGGCAATCTAGCCAGCTTGGGGCCCTGCTGCCACAGCCCAAATCAGTGCTTGGGGCAAATATGTGGCTGTATTCTCCTGCCTTCCTAGAGCAGGAGCCCAGCCATGTGTGTATGACTTCAGCAGGCTCAACAACAACATTCCCTGCCACATCTACACCCCTCTTCCAGGGCACATGCGTGGCACATATCTCCAGCCCCAGGTTATGGGCAAATACTCCCCTACTGAAGCTGGCCAGCTCTGGCCACTAGGAGGGGTAAGGCAGAGGGAGTGGGGCATATTTTCTAGTCTTTCCCAAGAATCCCTGTCCACTACAAGGCTGAGCAGGGTCCTGGCCAGCTCCCTCTTGTGCCCAGGTTCCAAGACAGACAAAGAAACCTGCCCCAGCAGCACCCACCCTGCCCTTGGCACGTAGTTCCAGAATTCTGGACCAAAGGAAGGAGCCCCCTGGCTCAGGAGGTCACTCAGTTCTTGTGACTTGACCCTAGCACGAGGGCAAGTTTTGGCACCTGGCCCATTCCTTGGGTCATATCCTACGTATCAAAAGTGCTATACAGGGTTTGGCCATTCCCTCCAAGCCTGCACATTCGGTCTCCACCAGAGACCTCACACCACCTGCCAACACCTCCTACTTCCCGCAACTGCTGTATACACTGCAGGGCACAGACTGGTGCCCTGCAGGGGCTGGGAGGCAGGACTGGCCCAGTTCCAGGAGGGAGGGCTCAGGGCCCACAGCCAAGCTGGAATTTGATCAAATTTCACAGCTGGAAGTCAAGGAACTTTCTTACTCTCCACTGAGTATAGACTGGGGCAGCCTGAGCCTCCTGGTGCTCAGTCACCTCTTTTACACTCCATAAGAACCACCCAGCTAGAAGCAGACAAATCCCTGCACCAACCTCTACCATCCATCCCTGCAGGCTCAAAAACTTGAGCATTTTTCTCTTGTCCTTAGACAGTACTGGGCAGGGCAGGTATAGAGGTGCTATATCCACTTGGAGGCAGGTAGTCTGCAATGTACTCAAAGGCTGACAAGTATCAAGCATAGAATGGCTCTTCCCCTGGTAGTACAGCTTGGGCAGCACTCAAATCCTGGCATGCTTGGCAGCAATAGCTGCATTTTTGCCAGTGCAGGTGTAAGCAGGGGTTCTTACCTTGCTGACATTACTGATGCTGCTGGAGTGCAGTACAGGTGCTGGACCAGCATTACCGGTGCTGCTGATGTTGCTGGTGGTGGTAGTAGTGATCCGAATGGGAGTGCTCCGCAGCCCCAGAGTAAGCTCTAGAAAGAGAGTATGTGAGGCAGAGGTGCAGAGATGGCCTGCAGCTACTGCAGAGCTAGCTCAGCATCTCACCCTCACCCCAAGCCACTATACTCTCTACAGCAACCTGATAATCCAGCAACTCTTACCCAGAACCTTATGGAAGCTCAATACTGAACCTGGGCCCCAAAGAGGGCTTGAGAAAGGTTCCTCCCACAAACTTTCCTACCACCAGGGCTCATCAATGAGAGTGTATCCTGCCACAGTTGATAATGGGATGAGCCTCTGCATGGGTCTGACCTGGGTCAGAGGTCCAAGAACAGTCCAGTCATGAAAGGAGATGCAGAGGCATTTGAGTCCCCACAAAATGCCAGCTCCCAGAAAGGCAACCAGACCCCTGGGCATGCAAAGTGCATCAGGGACTCCCCAACCCCAGGGCAAGAGCAGGCTGGATCTGTCCCTAGGACCAAGGACCAGAGCAGTCTGGGGGCCAACCCAAGGATGCTTCCTATGACAATTCACTTTGACCCAAGACTGTCCTGGCTGGAAGAGCAGGGACAGTAAAGCCTGAGGGACCCAGCTTTAAAATGGGGACAAGCTTCTGCTGATTCTCATAAGCATCCCAGACAACCTTTGGAAAACCATGGGGAAGGTGCTCAAAGGCAACCTCATGAAGTTAGACAGTCTAGGTTGTGCTCCCTATAGTAGCCAAGCTTCAGGGTCAGCATGAGGATGGCTGGGGCTGAGGCGAGCACTCTATGTCCCAGAGAGCTGGAGGATCATGACTGGGGATGGACTGCACATCCTGAAGAGACAGATTCAACCTGATAGTGACCAGAAGTGGCTGCTGCTTGCTCCCAGCCCCGAGAGCCTCAAGGCTCAAACACCATCAGTCTAGCATAACTGACAGCCTTTGCTCACTGCTTGTCTACCCATGCTGCACCTACCTGCCTGCTGGCTGCCCGGTCTGCCCACAATGCAGCTGCTTGCAGGCTGGGTTCGGCCATCCTTGATCTCAATGGTGAAGCACGTTTTCATGGTGTCCTTGTCCTTGGCACTGGCCTTGGTGTCAGGGGCAGAAAGCTGGGGCTGGGCAGGGCGGCAGGGCGGCAACACAACTTGCTGGATGCTGGGCTGCTCTGAGCTGTTTGTGCTTCCCTCCGAGTTTTCAATGGACCTCCAGGGGGACGGCAGCAGGCCGCCTTGTGATTGGCCAGCCTGGCCCCTCCTCCTAGAGCTGCCCTCCTCTTTAGGGCAGACTGGGGGCCCAGTGGGATGCCTGGCAATTGCAGCTTTTTCCTCCAAAGAGGAGGTGCTCTGTTCTGCAGGGCTGATGGCTTGCTGGGCACCTGCCTTGGCTCCTGAGGGCACGGCACGGGCTGGGCTGAGTCCACATCGAACACCTGTAGGTAAGTCTACCATGTGTTGGGCATAGGCCCCATGCAAGCCCCTGGCACTCTCGGGGTGCAAGAAGTGCTGCTGTTGCTGCAGAACCCGGGAGCCTTTGCCAATGCTCTCCCACTTTTGGCTGCCTGGCCTGGGGCTGGCCAGGGAAGATGGCCCCAGAGTCTCTGAGGTGAATTTGCGGGCACGTTCCCGCACGGAGTTGGTTCTCTGGAAAGGCTGCTCCCGCAAAGGTTCTGGGAAAGGAGGCAGGTTGAGAACTTGGGCTGTTGAGCGCCACAGGCACCCAACCTGATTGTCACCAATGCAGTCTGTCCAGGAGGGGTGGCATGCCATTCCCAGCCAGACAAAGCTCTGGTCAGTGCCCTTCAGGGGAACCCTGATGACTCCAGACTATCCCAAAAAGGGAAGTGGAGTGAGTGGATGAGTGGACAACCCCTCATACTGGGAGGGCAGATGCCACTCCCCATAAGTAACTGGGATGGGATTGCTGGGAGAGATAAGGGCAGGGGATGTAGAGGCATCTGTTGATTGTACAGTGTTTGCAACTGACATGTGAGAATGAGATGAGTGCAGCAGTTAAGAGAAGAGGCAAGTGGAATCAGCTATGCCATGAGGGATAGACATGCTAAGGGCTTGGCACAGTTACTAGCACCCACTATGAGATATCTGGCATTCACGCCAGGGCAGACAGTAACTGTGTAAGATTCCTGGAGAGGCCAATTCCAACCTCCTTCTCCTACCTCCTGACTTTGTGCCCAAGGAAGCAGTGTGAGCTAACACAGGGGGCTCTCTTTAGAGGTGTCTTGCTTCTACAGGATGAATAAGAGACAGAGGGCAATGGAAAGGGCAGAGCATAGGCTGATTAGGGGCATAGCCTGGGCAAGGTATCTTGAGTGTAGTGGCAGTTGAATCGGGTATTACCTGTGCTGCTGGCTCGGGGAGGGAAGAACAGCATGGACTGCATGTGCTCACTTTGGCGGGTACCCAGGTGTGCAGGGGCTCCTGGTACATCATGGGTAGATGCTGGTAGTCAGAATGTTTGGGAAGAAGCAGGAGGGGGCAGTTTTTAGACATTCAGAGAGTACAGTCAAGCAACAGCCATGTTAAAACAGCAGAGGCCAGAGTCACTATAGCCTCTTTTTGGCTCAGTGCCCCAGGGCTCTTCCTCACCCCTTATGCCGCACCCTCACAGAGCAAAATCCACAGCAAAGCCATATTGCTCACAGGCTGCCTTGCCCTCATGCACCAAGGCCTCAGCCGTGGGCATGAGTTGAGCTAGACTGGGCCTGGGTGGGTCTATAGCCAGCAGAGGGCACCAGTCTGCAAGCCATGCCCACACGTATCTGGAGTGCACAGAAAAGGAATGCAGACTCTAGGAGCTGGGGACCCTGTATACACCACTCAGACTGAGACAATGACCTAGCCCTATGGGATGCCCTGCAAATCAGCAAGCAGGGACCCACGCCCTCCCTCCATGGGTTGTCTCTAAACACTAGTTCCCCAGCCCCTCTGCCACTGACTGGCCTTACCACAAAGCTGAGGACAAAAGGGTTAGTACCAACATGCCATAGTTATATACAGAGTGAGTTTCCTGCACCAATCCCAAGCCTGCAAGGCTCAGTCCTCTGATCAGAGCTGAGAGGGGCACTTTTTCTTAGAAAGGGCAAGATACATCCACCTTCCTGAAAAGACAGCCATGATGACTGCAGGGTGGAGAATGTAGTCCCCAAGTTGTGTGCTGGTCTTCATCTGCTCTCTACATTCTGCCCATAAAATGCTGACTATCACACCCATGGTACCCCTGCCAGCCCAGGAGTTGTGGCAGCAGGGAGTATGACACTAGCATCCCAGCAGTCACCTGGCACCACAGAGCAGAGTTGGCTGCACACTGGAGGCCACCAGCCTAGGTCCATTTGAAGGCTGCTGGGTGTCCTGGGAATTGGCCCAAGTTCCATAGGGGTCCCCATCACATCAACCAGCCCATATTGGCAGCCTCAGCAGAATGGGCCACAAAGACTGGCCTACCCTACCCTACCCTTCATCCCCTACAGGGATCTCACCACACCAGAGATAGTACCTAGGGAAGCTTGTTTCCAAGGGGCTCAGAGCCAGGTTTTTACACCCTATATGGAGGCGAGCATTGACAGTGCTTACTGGATACACAAGGTGCCAAGGACTTACGTTCCTCTTCCCAGGCAGACAGTCTGTCTCTTTCATTGCCCCTGCCCAGCCTGCCCTGAGCTGGGATCTCAAAATGGGATGCTAGTCTACCCCACCAAAGCAATGCAGTGAGCAATGCTGGAAAAGGGCTAGGCATTTACTCTGCTCCTGAAAAGAGTCTTCCCTACTCCACTTCAGGGGACACCAATGGGAAGTAAGCCCGAAGAGCCAGTGCTAGAGCTGCACTGCTGGCTGCCCCTCTGAAGACTTTCAGGGAAAGGTAAAGGACCTCTACAAGGCCTAGAGCCCAGCAGCTTTGGAGAATCAGGGAGATCCCAAGACAGCCTGCTCCTGGATCTCAGCTATTCCCGTTATCTCTTCCCCACCCCCCATGCTCTGTACTGAGAATCCTAGAACCCCTACAGCTGACCCACAGAGGGCCTAGCAGAGGGTAAACAGCTGCTTGGGAAAGACCCAGAGCCTGAAGCTGTCTTGCTCAGTGGACAGGGAGCTGGATGCTGCTCCACCTGAAAGCACAGTGCGGTGCCCTCAGCTCCCCCTGCTTGGTGTGTTGATATGCCTGTAATGACCAAGCATACAGCAGAGAGGTTGGGGGCCAGGAGAGGATGGAGCAATGCTCAATTTCCTGCCTTATTGGGATAAAGAATGTAAAAAGCCAGAGTTTGCTGCAGGCAGAAATTCCCTTTCATGGCCTGACAGCAGGCAGGCGGGAGAACTTGTAAACAGTGCTCCAGCCTCTTGGCTGTGTGGAAAGATGAACCTCAGCCAGAGAGAGTGGAGGAGCGGGTTCAGGGAGAGGCCACTGACCTGACACCCAGAGCCACCCTGAGCTCCATCTCACACGGGGCAGGGGCAGAGGTGCACAGGGTACCCTCTCCTACCACTTCATCCAGGAAAAAGCTGGACAGATTTCTAACACCCGCCCCAACCCCACTTACATGTGTCCACCCCTCCTGTCCTTGCTCTCTTGGTGTTTATTTTGGCAGGGAAGCCCACCCCATCCCACCCAGAGTAGGGGACGAGAGCGCATTCTCCACAGCCCCTCTCTGCTCTGCAACCTGCAGTTGGAGCCTAGCCACTGGTCACAGTAGACTCAGCTCATCCCAACAGCCAGATCTGAGCAATGTGGAATAAGGATCTCCCAGCACAGCCCACCACCAGCAAGGTGGCACTGCCTCAGGGAAGGAAGCCCACAGCAGTTCATCTCATAGGGCAGAACTACTGCAAGCCCATAGTACTGCCTGGCAGCATGACTAATCTGAAGGCAGCTCTGCCATGGGGCAGCTCAGATCTAACTGCAGCCCCTAGGGCACCTCTGCAGTGACACAGCACTGCTACAACGAGGACACTACCAGCGCTACCACACCAGAACAAGCATTGCAGCAGGAACAACAATCATGCCTGGGGAGGGTGTTGTCATGAGTAGCGCCCAGCCCTACTCACACAAGCACCCCTTGCAGAAGCACTGCCATATATCTAAAAACTACCCGCAAACAGGGGTTGAGAGCCACTCACACGAGGGCACATGGATACCAAAGAGCTCCTCTGGTGTAGCAGCTCATAGCGTCACGGGAAAAGGGCAGTACTGCAGGGCATGTCCTATGTTCAAGAAAAGGCTTATTACATGCAGGAAAATCTTTATACCACCCAGTCCATACAATAGCGATGACACCATCTACAGACAATTCCTAGCAGGAAGCACCCTAGCTACTGGGCCCTTGTAGTCTCCTGGATCTCGGCACAGTAACTGCTGGAGGGAGACAGCACAGGACTTGCTCTTACCTGCTCGCTTCTGGTCTGTGATGCCTGCAGGTTTTTTGGACACCTGGTCTTTGATACAGATGATGAACTGGGGTGGGGAGGGGAGGAAGAAAGTGCAGTTAGTCACAGTGCTCAAATTAACAGGCTGCTTCAGAAACTGATGAACACCAGATGCTGGTGAGTTAGGTGCTGGGCAGGTCCATGCCCTTCCAAGCACAGCTTTCTGGCTAATCTGCCTTTGTACTTCTCGACCTGCACAGTGCTCTGATGAAGCCCCTCCATCCAGACACACATGGACTAACACAGCTCTGTGCTTTCCACCAGAGCCCTGCTGATGGCCCTGAATCTTGATGCCCAGCTGTCTTGCTATCCTAGCCTGGCACACACACAGCTCTAGATCTGCTGACATCCCTCACTCCTCACCTGAATCCCTCCCATGACCTTTAGGTGGCAAGTGGTGACTCTGCTAGACACAGGGGGCTGTGTGGTGTTGCTAAATGGGGACTGTGATGGTGCCTTTTGAACTCACTTCACTTGTGCCCTAAATTAGGGCAAGTTGCAAGGTCTCTGGCTAGCAGATGTGTGCTAACCCAGAATGCCACTTAGTGGCAAACACTCACATTGTCCTGTTTATCCCCTAAGCACAGAGGTGGGCAATTTATTTGGGCCTGCAGGAGGACACACAGGGCGTTTTGCTGAGCTGTCCTGGGCTGGGTCAGCACTCCCATCCCCCCTGCCCATGCAACAGCTTACCAAAACTCCCTATGTGGGATGGGGCTGCAGGCGGGCAGGGGAGCGATGTTTGGGAGCAGGACAGGCGGGCAAGGCTGGGATTACAAGGCAGAATCTTGGGGTGGTGACAGTGCAGGGCTGGGGCCCAGGGCAGAGCCGCAATCTGCTGCCCGCATGTCCCTATGATGGGTCCCAGGTCCCCGGACAGGGTGGGTGGGGCTCTGCCCTGGCCCTAATCCCACGCTGTCACTGCCCCAAAATCATGAACCCAACCCCAGGTCCCTGTCCACCTGTCCACACGCCCTGCCTGCACAGCTTCTGGCAGGTCTCCATGGAGACCCCTGGATCAGAGGGCAGTGACAGCGTGGGGACAGAACCCTGGGTAGAGCCACAATCCATTCCCCACATGGTCTTGCCCACAGAACTGGCGCCCAATTGCAGGGGCATGAGGGCAACAGATCACAGCTCTGCCCCAGGCCCGTGCTGTCACCACCCCAAGATCCTGGGGTCTCCCCTAGAAGTGCACTGATACATCAGTCCAATATCAGGTTGGCACCGATATAAAGAAAATTGAAAATTGGCTGTATCAGAAATCTGCCCAATGCGGCCAACAATTTGGCCGATAAATGCCTGTGTGTGTGTGCAGCCACAGCGCAGCATGCAAGCAGCGAGCACAGCCCAGCATCTTGAAGAGCTGGGTGCAGCTGATAAGGCAGTTGTGGTAGAAGGGGATGGGGGAGGATCAACATGCACCCCCCAGCAGTGAGGGAGGGAGTAGAGCAGGGACAGGGGTAGACACTACCCAGCTGGGGTGGGTGGGGCAGGACGCGGAACAGAGCCATGGCTCACGGGGGAGGGCAGGGTGGCAGCTCCTGCCGCTGCATGCACCCCAGGAGGGCATGGGTGGGGGTGTGCCCTGGATCTACAGGGTAGGGTGGGCGGGCTGCAGCTGCGGGCTGGAGCCAGGGCTGTGCCTCTTTTTTGTCTTAGGGCGGGCATAGCCCCCTCCCCCACAGTCCCCTTCCAGGACTGCCACCACCCGCCCCGTGCCCAGCCCCCATGGAGAAGAGCCCAGCACAGCCCAGTCTCAGCCCGCAGCTGCAGCCCTCCCACCCCGCCCCGTGCAGATCCAGGGGCACACACCCCCATGCCCTTCAGGGGTACACACAGAGGCAGGAGTGGCCCCCCCCAGGTGAGTCGTGGCTCCGTCCTGTGCTCTGCCCCGGCTGGCTTCCCTCCCCCCTCCCCTTCCACCACAACAGACTTAACAGCTGCACACAGCTGTATCGGAAATCGGATCGGTATCGGTGGATATGCCTCCTTAAAATTTGGTTATCAGTACTGGCCCCCAAAATTTCTAGTCTCCCTGGCCCTGCCAGCTTGTCCTGCTTTCAGACACTGCCTGTGGCCCCATCCCAGATGCTCGGCCAAACACCTTGCCCATGTAGGTCACACCTCTGGCAGTGGGTGCAGGGCAGACAAGCCAGAGAACTTAGGCAGTGGGGCTGGGCATCTAGAAGGAGCTACCGCTGCCAGGGCTGCTGGGAAATGAAGTCCAGCTGCCATGCTGCCCCAGCTCCATTGCATGTCCAGGGGCAGCAGGACTGACCAAAACACAGGACCAACTGCCACCCATGCCTGGGTTGGGCAAGACTGAGGGACTTGCCATGGGCTGGTGGACCAAATCCGGTCCATGGTCCATATTTTGCCCACTCCTGCCTAAGCATAACTCCACAAGACCTGTGGTTCTTAACAGAAGCAGCAGTAGCCAGTCATTTCTCCCTTCGTCCCACCCTCACCAGGCCGTAGGCCCCTGCAGGCCCTAATTACCTGGCTGCTTTGGCTTGCAGTGCTGGACAGACTTGGGCAAGACTTCTCAACCTGGCTGTCTTCTATGGGAGCAGGTACCCCTTGCTGCTCTGGCTCTTCCTGACTGGTCTTGTCACTGACTCCTGCTGGCTGGCTGAACACCTTCCCATCCTTCCTCATGGTAGAGGAGCTCTCCAGACTCTCCTCCTTCCAGGTGGATTTGCAGGATTGCTCAGCCTCAGGCTCAGAGTCAGTGCCCTGAGAGCTGCACTTTGGACTCTCAGCTCTCTGCTGAGACTCTGGCTCCAGCTCTGGCTCCAAGGACAAGGAAGAGCTTGAGGGATGCTGGTTAGGAAGTGGATCCAGTAGTAGTAGAGTCCCTGAGGCTGTATCTGCAGAGCAGAAAACCAGCTTCTTACAGAAGAAGACCTTACAACCACTCTCCACAGCAAAGCCCTTTCCACTGAGACCCCCACTGTGGCCTCTGCCCTGCAACAATGATTCCAGTCTTCCCTGAGCAAGACTACCCACATGCTAAACTCCCTCCTGGGGACAGAGCAGCAGACAAGACTTCTGTTCCTGATCACTCCCTGCCACCTGGGAAGAATGCTTCCTATGCCAACCCAACACCTCTTGCAAGAGAAAGGGCAGAGTCACAAGGAATCCCCTGGCCCATGCTGCACTCCCCACTGCACCTGCCCATACTCCAGCACAGAACCTCAGGGGTTTGGTGTGGGGGGAGACTGCTGTTGTCTACCCCATCCCCTCAGGGTTCCCACTCTACTCAGGGGGTACAACCAGGGAAGGTGTGGTTGGCCAGGGCAAGATGCTTTTATTGTTTCTTTGCCTATGGAAACTGGGCACTTGCAGGAGGCCGACATAGACTCACCCTGGCCATCAGGGTTCTGGGGTTCTCTTCTCTGTTCACTGTGCGGTTCCCCGATCTGAGCTCGGATCTTCTCCTGCTCCTCCAGGTTCTCTAGTTCCTGAATCTAAGAGAGAGGGATGAGGGCCAGATCAGCCAGCCAATCAGTCTATCCTCCCCACCCCAGGAGTACAGCAAGTAGGCAAAAACCACAAGCCCCCTGCTGACACTCCCTGGCCCTGAAAAGGACCTGCCAGCTCAACCCTTCTAGGAAGGAACAAAGACCCAGAGCAGCACAGCCAAATGCAAAACAGGGCCTGACAGTGTCTGATCCCCACCCAGCCCCACTAGGAAGCAACCAACCCTATGTACAGCCAGAGGCCAGAACTGATGCTACATACACCTGCGAAGACTCTTCATAGATGAAAAACACCTCCTGCACATCCAGTCCCCTCATGTCCCTTCCCCTCCCCACTACATGCTTCTCATATGTCCTACCATTCATTTGTGCATACGCTGTCCCCAAGCACTCAGACTCTGCTCATCATTCACTCACCTCTCTACATGCCCTGCCACCATGCCTCACCTCTTCATATACCCCACATCCCACTTGCCTTCCAAAGCCCATCTTCCTACACCCCCCTCAACTCCTGACTGTCCCCAGGCCCAAGGGGGGGGGGTGTGGAAGGAGACAAGAGAGGGACAGCAACCTGTTAGAAGACCACAAGGGCTCTGGCTACTGATAGAAATAGTCTGTGTGAACCTAGGTGCTCCCAAGTGGCTCCAATGCCAGAAAGGATGATAAAAGGGCCTGTGGTATCCACATCCCTCTGGGGCTGAGTGCCCTGCTGTCACACCCACACTAGTGGAGGACACATGCACCCACCCACCATAGTAGGGGGGACACTGCATGCACATATACATACACCAAACTCTGTGCCAAGGACAGCCTGGGTTCCTGGTGTTGGAACACTGTTTTTTTTCCCCAAAGACTCTAAGAAATTTGCTGCTGGAGCATGTGTTCCCTTCACAACAGGTCCTCAAACAGAACTGCTGATATAGAGATTTGCATACTTGCTCTCCTGCCACTCACCAGGCCCCTTTCTTCTATGCCCCTGCCTACCCAGCCCAACACTGATCCCTCTCATGGTCCCACAGAACAGAGAAGTCCAAACACCTGTGGTACGTGGAAAGAGAGACAGGCGCAAGCCTCTCACTGGACATTGGAAATGTATAGACACAAAAGGCCCAGCACTATGTCACTGATAGGTGGCTGCCATTCTTCTAAATGGAAGCAAGACTGGGTCCCTAGCAGTAGCTTATCCTGATGTACTCAGGCCTTTGCACTAGGGTAGTAGGCAGCTCTCCTGCATAGGGTCACAGGGGAGCAGCTCCCTTTCGGCCTCCTGTGTTCTCAGGCCCTCCCACTTGCCTGATACAGCAGCAGCAGCCACCAAGAAGGACAGATTCTACAGGATATTGCGGCCTCCACCAACAGCTGACCACCTGGCAGAATAGTTAACATCTCTTACTGAGCAGTAGTAGTGGCCCCTGTACCTGGGGAAGGGGCAGAAGAGCAGCTGCATCTTGGCAGAGCTCTGGACTAGATGATCTCTGGAGGTCCCTTCCAGCCTTACTTCTCTATAAAGTCTATGGAATTCATGCCAAGCAGCCTCCAGGCCTGGGTCAGTGTTAGGGCTTCTCTCCTGGTTTTCCACATTTGTTCCCTTTGCCTCTCTGCCAGTGGAGCCGTGCTATGTTGAGCAATCAGCCACTGTGCTCATAGCAAGTACTTCACAAACACCAGGAAACAGCTGTGTATTATCACACCACTACAGCCTTTCCCCAAGGGCAGAGGCCATGCAAAGATGCAAATGACAGCAAAGCAACAGCTGGGGAAAGCTCTTCTCAAAACTAACAGGGAGCCACAGAGATATGTGTCCAGCCCTTCCAATTTGACATAGCTATGGCCAAGACACAGACCCTTTGGGGGCTAAAGAAAGTCACAGCCACTTTTCAAAGGTGTTTGCCTTGGTGCCACCAATTTAAAAAATCAGTTTTATACAATATCACTAAAGCCTGTACAGTTCTGCCTGGTCTAACAGGCCCTGTTTTTCAGCCTAGTACCCAATCTAGTTTGTTCAGAGCTGGGTGGGTGTCTCTGTATTATGCCAGGTATACATGTCCTGCATGCCACCCAACATTGTTATCAGTGATGTGGAAGTAAATATAAAATAACTGCTAATCAAATGTGTAGCTGACCCAGAGACTGGTGGAACGGTAAATGATGATGAGGATAGGGCAGTCATACAGAGCAATCTGGATCACCTGACAAGCTGAGCTTATTCAAACAATATACATTTCAATGCAAAGTTTTACATCTAGGAACAAGGCATGTGGGTCAGACTTGCAGAAGGAAGGGACGGGATCCTAGAATGCAGAGACTCAGAACAGAATCTGGGGGTCAGAGTAGACAAACAATTCAGCCTATGCCACAGATGCATGCTATACCTCTGTCTTGACATGAGTACCCAAGGCAGGATCAAAACCGCCACCTCATCTCCTGACCCAAGGGTCACCAGTGACTCACAGGGAGAACCAGACATATTCACCAATACTCAGAAATGTCATGTAGGGAGACAAGATGACTGTGCAGAACCCATTCCTCCCCACTCACTTCCCCAGTGCCCTGTAGCCTTGTGCCCCTGACAACCACAGTCCCTCCAGGGACAATGGTGGACATAGCCGGGAAGGCTATTACGGTAGAAGGGTACAGAAGTCCATAGCAGCAATCTCTTCCCTGGAGTGCAGGGGCCTCTAGTGGTCAGCCTGGGCACTTCCTCCAGTGTATAACTGACTCCAGGGCAGGGGTGGCCAAAATGGTGGAGAGAAGTGAAGGCCCTCTAAGGATGGGTAAATCCCCTTGCCGTGTATAGATCCCTGTCCTGTCACCAGGACACATGCAGATCCCTGTACCCCAGAAGGAGCCTCGGTGGCTTCACTACTCACTAAAACAATGCCCCAGTTCTTCCCACTCACCACAGAACCCTCCCCCCATGCTGCTGGGCTCCCCAAATTCTCAAAGCAGATGACCTTACACTGCAAGGTGCACCCCATTCATTAGATAACTCTCAACTGCAGTATCCCACCCCGCTCCTGACAATGCCCCCCCAACCCTACTGGAGTTCCACATCACTCTCTGAGCCCCCTTCACCATACTGGGGTCCAGCCCCTCCTCTTCACTCACCACAGAGTAGCCCCCATCTGCACTCTCTTTCCCCTTGGCACCCAGCAGCTCGTCATCACCTCTCCGGCTGCTGTACACCTGCCCTGCCAAGGCTGCAGCTGAAAGGAAGCAAGGAAAGCGTCAGTTAACAAGGAGCTGCTTCTCCACTGCATCCCCTGGAGAGGAGAAGCATCTGGTTCAGCCTGTCCTGGGAACTGGGACAGTGGTTGTGCACACACAGTGCTATACCCTCAATCTCCTCAGCCCGCAGCTTCCGGATAGCAGCCCGAATCAGCTTGCGCTCTTCATACTCGCCAGCTCCTCGCAACTATGGGAGAAAAGGACTCATGAGTGATGCATCTGCACATCCAAGGGTTTGAGCTTACCACCCCACAGAAGAACAAGAACACCAGTGCAAGGCCCAGTTCCTGCCAACATGCCCCCTCCCACATAGGCCAGGGTTCAGAAGCTCTCCAGACCCTGGTGCTGACAGTTATATCAGTCATTCTCAGTGCAGGCCCCATGGATCTTTTGTGCTGCTCTGTCCATGGGTGTTAAACTACCCTGTTGGGCCTAGACAGAACAGAGCACAAACCAATGGTTACAACATACAGCTGGGGGTCATAACTCTTAGGTTCTATTCACGGCACTAGCACAGGCTGCCTGTGGTGCTTGGGGGCATTACCCTGCCATGCCAATGGGGTCCATGGTGCATGGCAAGGCAGAGTGAGTAGTATGAGCTACATGGTGCATCCCACACTGTGATTTAGCCTTGCCCTTTGGTAAATGGACATTATCCTGGTGTGCGGAAGAGAAAGAAGCACAAAAAAGAGAAGGGATTTGACATGCCCAAGCTCACACAGGATTCAGTGGCACAGCTGGGAGCAGAGCACAGAGTTCCCTCTCCCACTGCCACACACAGCTTAGAGGCCACTCTGTAAATGGAAAGGAGAAGGAGTTTCATAGTAGCTAGGGTCAGGAGGGACCTGAACAGATCATCTAGCCTGACCCCCTACCACAGGCAGGAATGAATGCTGAGTTCACAAGACCCCAGACAGGTGATCATCCAACCTCCTCTTGAATATGCCCAAGGTAGGGGCGAGGACCACTTCCCTGGGAAGTTGGTTCCAGATTTTGGCCACCCTAACTGTAAAATATTGCCTTCAGTGGTTAAAGCTGAACTGGATAACATGGTAGTTTGCACTGGGCCTTCTAACTCTATCCCAGGCCTAGTCCAGGACTTCCTCCTAGCATAGATTCAGAACAGGGTTAATCCCTCCCTAGCAGGGCAGCAGTGATGCTTTCAGGAGAGCAACTCACCAAGGCTGTCAGCTCCTCCAGATCTGTGATGGATTCAAGCTTCCTTGACAACAGAGCCAGGGATTTCTGCTGCTCCTCTTCTAGCTGCTGAGACCTGAATGAGGAACAGGGGCCAGGAAGCAGTTTACCAAGGAACTAAACTGGGTGCTCAGGCTGCTGGTTGGGGATGAGTATGTGACCTTCCTTCCAATGAACAATACACCACCACCCCGAGTACCAGAAATTCACTCTCTTGTTCCACCTAAGGTATGTGAGGCCAGGGTGTGGCAGGGCACTTGATGTGTGTGCCAACTGAAGAGATCAGGCAGCTTGCTGAGCCACTGGCAGGTGGGAGTCAGGCCATATTTGCAGAGTCAGCTGACCCAGGGGTCAGCAGATGAGGCTAGGCCTGATCAAGGGAATCACCTGTTTGGAGGAGGGCTGGGTACAGACAGGGTAAGCGCCCAGACTCAGAGTAGGGCTAGCAGTAACATATTGGGAGCTGGTGTAGGAACATCAGCCAGCTGGAAGAATAACATCTGAAACAGTTGGGAGGTTTGGGTAGGAACTAAGGGGATGGAGGAGGTTCCTGAGGGACCCAGTGTGAGGGGAGGGCCAGAGCCCTGTGAAGGGGGCTGAGTGCTTGGGGTCTAGTAAAAGGCCAGATGAACCCAGAGAGAGAGGGGCTGAATGCACAGGGGCCGAGGAAGAGGCCAAGCAAGCCCTGGAAGAGGGGCTGAGAGTCTGTGGGCCTAGTGAGGGGCTAGGTGAGCCCTGAGAGAGAGGACAAGTGTTTCAGAGACCTATTGGAGGGTCTGGGTGAACCCAGTGAGTGGGGCAGAGTGTGGGGGGCCTATTGAGGGGTCCGGATGAGCCCAGAGAAGGAAGTGGCTGCATTAAGGAAAATCTATGGAGGGATCAGGGTGAGCCCAGGGAAAGGAAGCAATCAATGGAGGGGCCCGGGAGGGCAGACCCACAGAGATGAGAGAGCTGACAGCCAGAGGACTGACCTGGCCTGTGCGAAGACAGGGCCCAGGAGGGGCTGAAGGGTGAAACAGAGATCATGGCAGAGACTGCCAGAGCTGGGAAAGCCTTGACTGGCCTGAGGCAGGGCCAGGGCCTAGGAGAGGCCAAAGATCCTTGTGTGGCTACAGCAGAGAGGAAGGGGTTAAGGGGCAGGCAGCCCAGGATGCTGATGGCCGGTGGTACGCCATCTGATGAGGAGGGATCAAGGAAAGTGGTCCAGGAGTGAGCTGGTGACCAGAGAGGGGAGGATTCAGATGGGAGATTAAGTTGGGGCTGGGGACCCAGTGGTTAGCAGCCCAGCAGAGGTGTAGGCCATCTAGGGGGAACCCAGAGAGGGACAAATAAGGTCACGTAGATCTGAAGATAGGTCCTGGGTAAGACCTCAAACTGCACCCTACTAGGGCTGGTTAGTGTGGTGGGGCTGCCTGTGACAAGGCAGTCTCTATGAAATGCTATGCTTGGGCCACTCCAAGGAAAAGTAAGGATGTGGTGCTGGAAAGCCTCAGCTCCCACTGCCTTGTGGGTTACCCCATGGGGGGGGAAAGCTAGGGGAGCACACCCTGACAGAAAAGCACTTGGCTGGCAATGTACCAGGACCATGTGGGTCCAGTGGCCTGGCAAGGGGCTGGGGAGGACTGGGACTATATGGGTCCAGCAGCCCAGCGAGTGGCTGGGAAAGTGAAGAACTAAAAGGATCCTGGACAAGGGACCAACAAAGGAGCTGGTAGCCCGGAGAGGGGCCAGAAGGTATACCGAGGGACCTGGTAGTCTAGGAAGCAGTTGAGACAGGGGACTGAGGGCCCACAGAGGGGCTCGAGGAGAGACCAAGGGGTCTGGAAACCGAGGAAGAGGCTGTGCAATGAGGCCAAGTGGTCTAAAGACCCAGAGTGGGGCTGAGAGAGGCCAAGGGGTCTGAAGGCCTGGTCTGGGGCTGTATCCGGGTGGTCACTGTATTAAGACCAGGGCAGCCTCCAGCACTCTTTATATCAACTAACACCAAGGCGTAGCAGGTGAGAGCTGGGCAGACTGCCCATAGAGCAGAGTATCTCAATTTTTTGGGGTACCCTGTGACATAGGGAATAGCCAATACCCATTTCCTGGCATCATGCTGTATTTCTACTAAGCCCTGCAGCAGCTGGACCTGCAGCACAGAGCCACACTACAGCACGGGAGCTCCTGGGAAGCCACACAAGTACCATGAGAGGAGAAATTGAAATCTAAGAAGAAAGAGGAAGCCAGCATCTAGGTCCCTCTCAGGGTCAGGAAAACCTATTGCCCAAATAATAGGTGGCAGGACCTTGTGCCCCAAAGACACCATGTGCCCACACTCACCGCAGCCAGTTCTCTTTGTTCTCCTGTCGGTGGCTGCCACGTTCAGATCGGAAGCGCTTGGATGCCAACGTCCCCTCATCCTGTTCCAGCTGCTGCCGCCGCAGCTCCCGAATGGCAGAGCGGATCTGGCGCCGTTCAGCAAGGTCCAGTGTGGCCTCCAGCTGGGCAGTAAAACAGAACAAGGGAGGGGTTCACACAGGGACTGACAGAGATGCCTATTTATCCTGGCCCCACCCATCAGAGAGCTCTGCTCTGTACTGTATGTACTGCAATCCCCCACCCCACATGCCAGCCTGTGCCCGCCTGCACTCAGCACAATGAAGCTGTTTGTCCTCTTCTGTTATCTGTATGGCAGCATCACAGCACACACTACTTGGCACTATCCTCTTAGCCACTAAGCCTGTCCCCCAAACCTCCAGGCATGCAGCCTTTTGACACCCACACAGTACAGCAGAGGATGCACACTGACAACCCAAGGGCTTCAAAAGGTGGCCTCATGTGAATGCATGCTCCACCCTGGAGCAGACACTAGGGCCTGGGTGAGAAGGTACTGTAGACTTTTCCTAGCCCTGCAGCTAGCAGAGCCAAGGCGTATAATGGAAGGAACAAACTATAAAGCAGGACTTTACTACACACCCACAGGAAACCCATCTCACACAGTTTCATGTCACATTATAGGACTTGCTGCCTTGCCAAAACAGGCCTGAGAGATGTAGGACACAAAGAAAGCAGGCAGTGAGCCCCAATGCAGAGTAAACATGGCCTGTCTCTCCTGGTTAGGAGTGGAAGCCCAGGACTAGCCGCTTTGAGAGTGGAAGAAGACAAGAGTTAGGACAACTAGGGACAGAGGGGCTGAAAGGACTGTGATGGGCTGGGGCTGACAGATCACACAGCCTTTGCCTCCCTGAAGCCAGAGGGGCCCTAGCCCTGCAGCAGTTCAAAGGAGAAGCTGGAGCTACTGGGATCCAACTATCCAGGAAGTATATATGTAGGGGTAGAGGCAGGGGAAATCTTTTCCTGCTGGATGCAACAGCAGCAAAACATCAGCTCCTCACATTCCTGGGCCTCTGTTGCTATTCTCTATTCCTCACCTGAGGGAGAAAGGACTTAGATAGCCTGTGATTTGAAGCCAGGATGCCCAGAGAAGATAAGGGGTAGGGGGACAGTACCCAGAACAGCACTCAACTGGGCATGGGTTCCTTCCTATGACTGCACACCTGAAGGTGTGGAGCCATGAGCAGATTGCCACAGCCCAGGACCATAAATATCTTAAAATATTTTTAAGATATGCAAGATCACAGGAAGATAAGGATAGGAAATGACAATGTGAAAAGGGTAGAGAAATTTAAATATTTAGGAACAATAGTTGCTGAGGATAATCAAATAACTGAAGAAATTAAGGCAAGAATTTACAGTGCTAATATGTGCCTGTTGAGCCTCGATAAAATGTCATCAAGGAAAATCTAAAAAAAACCTTAGAATCCAGATTTATAGCTCAATTGTTCACCCTGTCCTTTTATATGGATGTAAATCCTGGACCTTGACAAAGGCAAATGAAAAAAAAGCTGGAAGTATTTGAAAACAAAGTACCAAATAAAATATTTGGTGCAGTACAAGAAAATGAAGTTTGGGAGAGAAGACATAATCGAGAGCTTGCAGATCATTACAAAAGGTCTGATGTCCTGAACAAGATAAAAGCAACAGGGTATACTGTGACAGAGAAAACTTGTGAGACCGATTTTAAAATCGGAGGTGGAAAGTATCAGACCTTGAGGTAAACCAAAGCAATGATGGGAAGATAACATAAAAACTTATCTGGAAGGGATAGGCAAAGATGCAACATGACAAAAGGAAACAGAGAGCGACAAGAGAGCGAGCGAGGACCCTACTACACATTTAAATTAAAGCTGGATAGAAACCAGCTATAGAGTTGTTATACATTTTCAAGCACTAGCTTTATATCTGGTTGGCTCTTTTTATAGCTGCATAGTCATTTTTATTGTGTGATAATTACTTTGCACATGGGGCTGATCTAAATTTATTGTGTGACTGACTATTTAATTGTGTAATATATGTAATATGTAGCAGGGGCTAAGTGTCAGGCAGAAGGAGACATTATTGGGTTGGGCACCCAAGGCATTCTCAGCCTGTAATAGAGAAATCAACTCCTCTGTAGAAAAGGTATCTGAGAAAAATGACTTATCAGACAGAGGAATACCATGTGTCCCAGGGGAAGAAATTGCTTCCCCCCCCACCACTTGATGCATTGTTTAAGCCCTCGCCCCATAGACTTACCTGCAGGAAGCTGCTCTCCATGCTACCTGGTTGCCATGGGCGTGTGTGCACGTGCACATGCACTTGGTGCCTCTCACTCCCCCAGCCCCAAACAGCCCCTTGAAGGCTGGAACTCCACCAGCCTGCAAGGGGAAACCTGTGGTTTCCAACGTTTTTCTCCTTTAAAGGAGAAAATCCATGTTTCTCCACAGCAAATGGAAAACCCAGATACCTGTTTATTAGTATGCACAGCATTAATGTATGGTGAAACAAAGCAGCATCTATTTTTTCAAAAATGCATGCAAAATATAATCCATTTTTAAACTTTGTTCACAACCATTTCATATATTCTTGCAGCCCACTTTTGGGTCACAACCCACAGGTTGAGAAACACTGTCCTAACTGAT